TATTTCCATTTTTATCTACATATAGTGAAGATTTTCAGTACTCATGATAAACCAGCTCCCATTCATCAATGAGATCGTATCCACTCACAGTTGGTAATGTCAATGTGTTGTTGATGAAGGTCAGATATGCCGTTGTTATATCATGTTCAGTAATGTATCGGATTACCGCTTTTTCTCCCAACACATCTCGATAGGATACTTGAAAACGTCTTCTGCTACCACTTGTTTCTTGACCGACTATGAAGAGATCCTCAATGACAATCAGTTTGTTGGTTGGACTTTTGTAAAATTTAATAGGAAAGACATGAAGTGTGGCTTCTGGTGGAGTGGTTGATGAGCTCGGGATGATATTCTTCAATTTTTTGACTTTCACCTTTCCATCCTTTCTGTCAACATACTCCTTTGTTGTTGCTGAGTCATCCTCTGTTGAGTCTCGGAGATTGATGATGTGTTTCAACCCCATGTTAAGATTTCCTTTCATCTGGCTTTCAGTGGGCATTGCTGCTTTCAGTGCGTGAGCTCCTTTTCCACTCGGAGCAGTAGATTCAACTTAGCATGCATTCATTGCATTGTAAGATCGACTCCTGATATAACGAACACCATTGTGCAGGAGAAGTAGTTCTTTATAGCCGAAGTTCGTTATAACAGACATGCACTCACACTATACTGTCCCTCCAGGAAATCGCGATTCCACGGATGCAAGAAATTTCGCGATTTTCGCCCAAACCCGCGATTTCCCGCGTTTTTTGGTTGTTTTCTGCACTATATCTCACTTTTTCTGCACTTTTCACGCAGTGCTTTCCATGATCCTGTAGGTTATTTGCACAGTACGACTCGTACTACTCCCGAGTAGATATATGATGCAATAAATTTCGTGATTTGGCCCAAATCCGCAATTTTCTGTAAATAATTCCGCGAATTCCTTGCAAGTTCTGCATCATTCCGCACTTTTCGTCGCATTTTTTGTTGTTTTCTGCCGCAATTTCTTGCGCAAGTTTTCGAGAGTTTTTCCGCAAACTCCCGCAGGGACAGACTATACGAGCGGTAAGTCATGACTGGCAAGTAGTCCATGACAGTGTGGATGCACTTGGTGTACATGCGGCCCTACAAGATTTGGTTTGTTATAAACGAAAACGTTTCGCTATACAGGGTCAATATTGTGTGGGTTCAATCAGGGACATGGATTAGTGTTCGTTATATCACGAAATTCGCTATATGCGAGTTCGTTACAAGTGGAGTCGACTGTAAATGCTACAAGACAGATAGGCTGCGCATTGATCATCACAAGACATCGTGGATGTACGCGTGCACGTCAATGTGTGTGCGTGTGTGTGTGTGTGTGCGTATATGTATATGTGTGTGTGGTAGTGTGTGTGTGTGTGTGTGTGTGTATATGTGTGTATGTGTGTGTGTGGTAGTGTGTGTGTGTGTGTGTGTGTGTGTGTGTGTGTGTGTGTGTGTGTGTGTGTGTGTGTGTGTGTGTGTGTGCGTGTGTGTGTGTGCGTGCCAGCTAGTTCCGTTGGTGGGTACACTTATGCCTGATTTTGTTGGGTCTGTTGCCAACGGGCTCGGCTACTTGAAGGTGTGATATTGTACCTGCCACCTTTGTTGGTTCCAGGGTTCATATACTTTCTATTTGAAGTATACATACGTGTTAACCATGGACTGCTTCTGGCTAGATTAACTCTTGTGTAATCATGGTGCTAGTGAAGCTTGTATCAGATCCACTCTGATTTAGCCACCCACACTAGTAGTATTACCATCACTGGGGGCAGGGGTAACTGCAGTTGGATCCGGGACGGATACCCTGATGCCGTCAATCCTTTGTCTGCACCTTGTCCTCACCCACTTACTGAGGTGTGGTGAGCCCAAAAGTGGGAACATTTTCAAGTCTACAACAGAGTCACACAGTTTGGGGATTTCAGGGGGTGTTGGCCGTTGGGCGGTTCAATAGCCAATTGAGTCATCTTTCCAAGATTCTTTTTGAGTCTCTCTCCCCTCTCCCGAGGAGACCCACTTGACCAGTTTTGGCAGTGAGCAACAAGTACAAGTGTGTGTTTGCATGTGTGTGGGCTCGCATGCGTGCATGTGAGTGTGTGCATGTGTGTGCATGTGTGTTTCCCATATGGTGCAGTGGTGTATGTGCAGCGATTTTTAATCGATAGGTTGCGCGTTCGATTCCCGACGGCTATGGTCACACACATCTTTCTTATCTTTCTAGGACTCCTTCTGACTTTTCTTTCATTCTCCTGGGTGGTTACCAACAGCCAGTGCATGCCGGAGTATATGGTGTGATGTGTGTGCGGAAAAAAAATGAAAAAATGAAAAAGATCAAAAATAATTATTAGTGATTCACTGGCCAGAAAAAGCCACTTCATAGCTGTGTGGTGTAGACCAGGCTGAATAGTGGCGGTCAATTCTTCAGCCTTGCAAGCTGTTGAATGGTGCAATCCCAGCACAAGCTGCTATGGCTTCTGCTGTAGCATCGCTATCATCGCCTCCGGTTATGGGCGTCAAATGGTCCAATGGTAAAAATTAATGGTGTGTGTCAGCATCATGCTGCATGTCACTCCAAACCACGAAAGGCCAATGACAACAGATGATTGTTATATAAAATCATTACGGCATGCTACTAAATGTGAGGAGGCGTGAACATGTGCATTTACATTACATTGTGTACATTTTACATCCATACTCGGTGCAGGCATTTGGTGAGGTTCAAGTGAATGAGCTGTTTAACCATTTGTGGTAAGCGATACATCAGCGGTGGTCTCAAGAGAGACCTACAGCCGCTACAGGTCAAAACCTTCTGATCGTGTGACGGGCAATTTGAAGGACAGGCCCAAAATTAGAATTGTAAACAGCCCAGCGAAAACAGAAACATGCATTAATGAGTATAACAAGCTTGGTGGAAAAATCAAAAAATTCCAAAATATGTGTTGCTCTGTGCAACTGATATCGCAGTCCCATTTTCACTGTAACCAATAGTAACCGTCATCACAACCCCAACAACGCCGTGTTTACCAAGGTAACGAAGACGAAGAGTGGCATGGAGGTGGCGGCGATGTACGAGGCAGCAGAGTTGCGGGCAGCCAGCGCGTTGCAGTTGTTTTCCTTGCAGCAGATGGCGCAGAGGGTGGTGTTGGCCGTGCCGGTAGTGTTGCTAAGGGTGGCGTTGCAGCTCTGCTCTCCCATGGTGGAGCCGCACCTTTGCAGCTGCTTCGCGGTGCCGCAGCCTTTCAGCATGGTCGTGTTCATCGTCGGCAGCATGGCCGGCCCTGAAGAGATTGCGCACAGAACAGTGCATGTCAGTCACGTGCCGGTACATGTACACATGCGGACACCGTCTAGTCTGTCGGCTGCGCTTGATTTGCCCCACTGGCACGGCCAGCTCACGCGTCCCCTACCATTGATTGTTACTGTTTCCGGTTTCAAAGTCTGAAGAAAATGTTGAACGGTCTCTGCTTGGATAACAGCAAGAGTACATACCCCCCAAGAGTGTGCAGCTCGAAATATGGGTGCTGTCCGGGCAGAATTTCAAGCTGACGTCATTTTATGATGCAATGCGTACACGGATTATCACATATTATCAGACGAATCCGGAACCTGTGGTGGACCAAAACCCATCTGATCCTGTACAAATTAGTGCAAAGAAAAACGCGCGTGAATCGTTGACACCGGTACAACTGTTGTAAACCACTGGTGCAAGGAGCATTGGAGCATTGCATCATAAAATAATGACGTCAACTTGAAATTCTGTCGCGGTTCTAGTATGTACTGTTGATGACATCTACAGCAAAGCTCAGTGGCCAGAGCATCTCTGGCCTCAAGCGAAGGTCCCTGGTTCGAGTCCTGGTGGTGACAGTCGATTTTTTCTTCATACTCTTCCCGTTTGCATCTTTACCCCCAAACCAATGAATGTTTCCTGGTTCCATTTTCCTTTTTCCTCAATCATAAAATCATAGGTAGAGTTGTGATTGACGATGAAAAAACTTCGCACATCAATTTGATCTCGTTCACCTACCGGTGATGGTACCCAGGTACCAGGCGTCTGCATGTCTGGATGGGACAGTGGGCAACCATGAATCGGACTAGTCTGGCTGCGGCATACACATATGTACATGTACATGACTGTATATTTAAATAACAAGCATTGTTTGGTTGACAGCAGGGAGTCGCCAAATACGGTATTTGACGACTCCCTGGTTGACGAAGGCGGAGGATGCACTGTGCTTGACAAAACAGTGTAGTAACGTGCGTTTCTGAACATTCAAGCGGTGCTGATGCGGACCCCGCAAATACTGCAGTGAATCCTGTCAAGGCGACCGCTCCGATGAGGTGACCACCTGCCTTAAAAGACCACTAAAACCAGGACCAAGGGACGCTATTTCCAGTCAAATGACCCTGGATAAGGGCAGATTTCCACTACGATACCGTTATGTCGTCGGGGGGGGTTATGCCTCGACGTGCGTGCCGTGAGTACTACCCATGATGATTTGCTCACGTGAGGGGCAGTTTTGGCGCGAGTTCATTCCGTGGCTCCTGCTGTACCGCGCCGTGGCCATTCCGGTGGCGAGGGCCTCTGGGGGATGGAAATGGCATGCCGTGGTATTCCGTGAGGTAGAATACACTGTGTAGTAGGTATTTTACTACTTCCCGATAGGAAGTTTTTTTTCTTTTGTATTTGTGGTACGAAGTTCTTTCTTGGCTTTTTCGATTGGTTGATTTTGAGCTTTCTCCAATTATCTCCCCCACTATTTTCCGTCCAGACCAAAGTCAGAAATTGGTTAAAATGGTGATCTGTCCACTGATTGGACCTTCCAGCTTGGAAGGTTCAAGGTTATGGTACCTTCCGAGCTGGAAGGCTGTTGGCTTACGCACTGGAGATGTGTTAGAGCTACATAATGTCCACACAGCACGCGCTAATTACCAGGCTACTGTGTGGCGACTGGCTTTGCAACCGAAGCCCGATGTGCCTACGCCCATCGGCAGAGGATGGATTCAAGACAGCGACGGTAAGTTGTTCCGATAAATAATTAGCACCGATAATGTACCCAACTTTGGATCAAGTTATGCGTGAGGAAATTTACACTTGTGTAATTATTATGGTATGGTACGCGTCTACAAAGGCTACAGTGGAGTCTGCGGATATTGAGAAACATACTGCAAGGTTGAAAGAATTGTAATTAGCAGATAAAAGGATAAAGGATACAGTGCTGCCCTTCCCATTTAACCAGATATCTATGACTGTCTACTGCAAAATATACGCGATGAATAAATTAACTGTCTGTGACAATGTTTGTTTCTTCCTTCAGGCAGAGTCGCTGTGAATTGGACAGAACAGCAGGCAGTGCCAAAAGAACTTCAGAGCCTCATCAGCTGCGGGTGCCGAGGAGTGTGTGACACTCAACGCTGCTCATGCAAGAAGTCATCTCTTGCGTGCACTGACATCTGCCGCTGCGAAGGTACATGCGCAAGTCCGCTCAACAGTAGGCCAGAGCAACCACCACAGCAAAGTACGTCCGGTGACGTATCGCAACTGGAAACTGAGTCCAATCATGCCCAGCCAAACTCAGATTGTGACGACTCGTGTGTCCGATAGTGATGGATCAGCTGCATGTACGAGTGATGATCTCAGCAATGATAACGTTGATAGTGACAGTGCGTCAGTTTGAATTCCTTGCGCAGCTGCCATATTGTAAAGGGAGAAATTAGACATACAAGAATGAATCAAGTTAGAAAACTAACAGTGACAGCAAGGCTCTACAACTAACATACATGCCATGTGGCAATATTCCTAGATTTTGTATATGGATAAACATTGTGTGTACTATTGTACTACAGTAAAACCTGGTGTAAGCGACCTCTCGTTTTACTGACCACCTACGACCGTTTTTCCATGCACGGACAGTGCTACACAGACACTGTGGGCTGGATGTGCGCACGTGCACGGCATCATTGCAGCATATCATCATATTGAGAAACAGTTTGTGTAATATACAGTGTAAAATTGTACTACCGTAAAATCCCGCCAGAGCGCCCCTACCTCCTCCGCTTCAGGTGGGGAGGGGCAGATGGGCGAGTCCTGCTTGCCGCATTCAGTGCTACATGAAAAAGTACTCACCCTACGAAAACTGTTCGTGCATCTCGTACACCGACCAAAGGTCAAGAGCCAGGAGTCGAACAGACCCGACAAAACGAAGGGTTTGTGCGATCCCTGGTCAGGAGGGTGGGCACTGTTGCGTACATTTCCAACGGGGTCGAGCACGCGTCTGCAGTGCAGTACGGCATCACAGACTGCAACAAAGTCATACGAGGATACAATCAATCACGTCCCTGACAAGAAGTCAGGGAGGGGCGGATGGGAGAGACGGCGGGATTTTACGGTACTTTTAACTATTTTACCAGGATGCGCGAATCATTGCAGCATATTCCTTTTGTATATTGATAAACATTGTGTGTGTGAGATACTATTGTATTACTTTTTGTTGTTGTCAGTAGATTAATTATCAGTACATGATGATCTATTTTAATATATTTTACCTGGAGGTGCGCATCATTGCAACATATCATCATGTACTGATAATTAATCTACTGACAATTATTCAAGTGATGAACTGAACGAATATTTCTTGAGAAATATTTCTTGAGAGAGATGCAGCGAGGACATAAACTGACACGTTATTTTGTTCTTTTCATTGGATACCAGAATCAGTGTACCAACACAGAAGTGCATTGTTATTGAACATTGAATATTGATATCAAACTCACAATGTGTCTTCTTTTTTGGGAAATTTATTTTTCAAGTTCGTGATTCAAGACAAAATACTGGCTCACCTTGTGCCGGGGAGTTGGTAGTATTCCATAGGATGGGGCTTCAGCAACTACAGCATTGGCTCGGGCTTCAGACTCGACACCACTAATAAGTAATCCTTCAATCGATTCGAGACGAGTCGAGTGCTATTACTAGTGTTGACAACGTTTTTTGAAATAATTCAAAAATACTGTACTATACTGATGCATTTCCCTCACTGCGCGTAAAATGCTTCATGTGAGCGTGCCCAATCAATGCTCAGGTGCACGAAGATCTTGAAATCGGCGAGGAGAAATTGGCATGAAAACCCCCTCGTAGCAAGCTTATGGCACAGCTTTCAGGAGTCCGACAAGTGAATCCATGCTACCAAACCCCTTCCCTATCTAACTGGACCATGCCCAAATCCTCCTTCCAAAGTGGCACACCAACTGCGAAAAATTGATTTCTCAGAATCCGGATCCCGGACTAAATCGAAGATCTGCTCAAAAGCCCGGAGCTGCAAAAAACTCAACTCATCTCCGGTGTGTCGAAAACACAGCTACCCTGCGGACGATGCTGCAGCCGGTGGCAAGCTAACGCCTGTTCGCCAATGGTGGGACAATCTCGTCAGCCAAGGTCCTGGGTATGGCTACCACTGCAATGCCCAGAAGTCACTCCTCCTGGTCAAGCCCTCCAGGTACGCAGCTGCTATCGAGATGTTCGAGGGGACCGGTGTGCAGGTCACGTGTGATGGTTGCCGCCACCTTGGTGCACCTTTGGGCACGGATGAGTTTATAGAACAATTTGTCCAGTCCAAGGTCGCCACCTGGTGTGAGGAAGTTGCGCAGCTCACGACCATCGGTGCATCGCAGCCACAGGCCGCCTACTCCGCCTTCACACAGGGCCTGCAAAACAAGTGGTCCTTCCTCTGCCGGACCTCCTCCATCCCGCCATCCTTGCTTGAACCGCTGGAACACGCAATCAGCGGTCGGCTCATCCCGGCCATCACGGCCCCGGGTCAGGCTCCACCTGGGACAACTGTTCGCTCCCTACTCTCTCTCTGCCTTGCCGGCTTGGGGGACTGGGTATGGCAGACCCTTGTTCAGTGGCTGAACAGTACACCTCATCCCGAAGGATCACGGCTAGCCTCGTGTCTCGCCTGCTGGAGCAGGAGTCGTCTCTTGGCGACTCTCTGACTCAGCTCCGGACGGTCAAGGCGACGATTCGGGCCGAGAAGCGGAGCGCGTTCAAGTCTATGGCTGACGCTCTTCGCTCGGATCACCGGGAGCTGGCCCCTGTTCTCGACCTGGCCTCAGAAAAGGGTGCATCCAGCTGGCTGACCTGCCGCCCCCTCAGCCGCCATGGTTTCACACTCAGCAAGGGAGATTTCCGGGATGGCCTGTGCCTCCGGTACGGCTGGACACCTCCTCGGCTCCCAAGCCTCTGTGTGTGCAGTAAGCCGCTGAATGTGAGTCACGCCCTGTCGTGCCCGTTTGGTGGCTTCCCGACGCTGCGACACAACGAGGTGAGGGACATCACCGCCAGAGCTCTGAGGCAGGTCGCTCACAACGTGACAGTGGAACCCCACCTCCAGCCCGTCACCGGAGAGGCCTTCCGCCATCGCACAGCTGTCACGGAGGAGCAAGCTCGGCTGGACGTTGCGGCTAGTGGTGTGTGGGGTGGCCGATTCGAGCGCATCTTTATTGATGTACGGGTGTTCAACCCTTTTGCGTCTTCGAATCGTGCCACCTCCCTCGCTGCTAGTACAGACGCCATGAACAGGAAAAGCGCCGGAAGTACGAGGAGCGAGTACGTGAAGTTGAGCATGCCTCCTTCGTGCCCGTTGTGCTCTCTGCCTCTGGTGGCTATGGCAAGCATGCCAATGCTCTTTTCACGCGGATCGCCTCTCTCCTGGCTGAGAAGAGTAAGGAGCCATACGGGCAGGTTATCTCCTTGCTGCGCTGCCGCCTTGGGTTTGCCCTGGTGCGTTGTGGTGCTATGTGCCTGCGTGGCTCAAGGAGCATGTTTGCTCCTGCCATGCCTGAGTCCCCTGCTGTGCTAGTGGCGGCGGAGGCACGCATCCAGTGAACCTGCACAGTGCAGTGATCCTACTGAGTGACAGACTCTGTAAATACTGTATAATGATGATTCGTTTTTATATATGTGTTGATTCTTCACAAAATGTGTTATTTTGCCCGTACAAGAGGCTCAGTTTTCCGTGTGAAAAAAAAAACAAAAAAAAAAACATAGCACCCCGTGGCGAAGATAGACTACGTTTTTTACTTACGTTATGCGGAACCTCTCGTAAAATCCCGCCAGAGCGCCCCGTCTCTCCTATCCGCCCCTGCCTGACTTCTTGTCAGGGATGTATCCTCGTATGACTCTGTCTTTTTTTTTTCTTTTTTTTTAGTGTGCATCATCTTTATTTTTTTTATTTTTTATACTAAAAATGTTTGGCACCTATGATCAGGGGATGGCCCACGCCTGGTAAAAAAGTAAGTAATTAAAAAAAATTAAAAATAAGAGGTACTGTGTTCCGGCTCTCCGCCTTCTCCGCGAACATAGAGAACTAGAGGAGAACTAGAGGAGAACAAACAAACACAAGAAGCAAGAATGACACGAAAAGCAGAAATTATGAGAACATGGTATAAATAAGCACGGCCATCAACCTCAACAGGGGATGACTCTGTCGCAGTCTGGTGATGCCGTACTGTACTGCAGACGCGTGCTCGACCCTGTTGGAAATGTACGCAACAGTCCCCACCCGGTACCCTAGGTACCCTCTTGACCAGGGATCGCACAAACCCTGAGTTTTGACGGGTCTGTACGACTCCTGGCTCTTGACCTTTGGTCGGTGTACGAGATGCACGAACAGTTTTCTTTTCTTTTTTTACTCCAAAAGAGTTGGCACCTATGAATTCAGGGGATGGCCCACGCCTGGTAAAAAGAAAAGGAAAAAAAAAAGAATGTTTGGCACCTATGAGTTCAGGGGATGGCCCACGCCTGGTAAAAAGAAAAAGTTTTCGTTGGGTGAGTACTTTTTCATGTTGCACTGAATGCGGCAAGTAGGACTCGCCCATCCGCCCCTCCCCACCTGAAGCGACGAGGAGGTAGGGGCGCTCTGAAACTCCTTCCAAAAATTAAAAAGGCAATCGAAAAAGGAAAACAGGGAACGAGTGAAAAAGGATACAAGAAAAATGCAAGCACAGCAATTCGGTACGGTGAAGGTCACGGGTTGAACCTGTAAGAATATACCGTAGAACCTTTTTGGGTACTCGGGGTCAGAAAGAATAAAAGGTAGCCTTGTAGAGCAGGGAGCAGTATAGTACATGTACTGTACAATACTACTCCCTGCATGCTGCTATAGAGCCCACCATTCCAGTAAGACACGCATATAGCGCATGCGTACAGTTAGTTCAAGCCTAGTTCACATTCGACGGGGCGCGACGGGACGCGGGATCGACGGGAAGCGACGGGACGGTCTGACGGCGTCCAATGTGAACACCAGGAACGGGAACGCAACCGTACTACCGTACAGATCGGGAAGCGACGGGAAGAGTTGGATCAAGAGTACTCTTGGTTGGATCGATCCAACTTTTCATACCGTAGACGGGCGTAGACGGGGACGCAAGCGTGCAAAACAGCTGCAATTCGAGTGTGAACAGGAGACGGCGTCGTGCGCCGACTACTCCCGATTCGTACTTGGAAATTTTTAGCATTTCGAACACTGCGCTTCCCATGATAACTCACAGAATGGCTAGCACGACTTGAGTTGAATTTTAGCAACATAAGATCTCATGTCACTTATTGTATTTAGGGATAGTTCAGAAGCGTGACAGACGAACTATTCTATCATTTCCTGGGGCTATTACTTGAATGCCACAACTTTCAGGGCTAATTTTTTGGTCTTCATGAAAAACTGGTATTGTGAACTTGATTCCGCTTCTTTCAAGGAGAAATAATTGAAAAGAAGTCCCGAAAAACGAGAAATTAGGTCCGAAAGTCACCCCGTCACGGACCGTGCCTTATGTCATGTGACTCGCGCCGTTCGACGTTGAACGTCGCAAGGACTGCTGCATGTCGTGTCGTACGAATCGTACAGGATTTTACAGCTCACCCCAGCCCTAGGCCCTCTCGACAAGCCCTTACGTCCCGTACCGTCGGCGTTGCGTCGAATGTGAACTAGGCTTCAGAATGCACAATCCCACGAAACGAAGGAAGTGAAGACATTCTTGTTATTGTTGTTGTTGTAGTGGTCTAGCTAAACGACCCCTTCTACCTCATCATGTCGACCTTTCGTGTTCTTTTCTGTCTCGCCGTACTCGGCTTGACTGGATCGTTCGTGGCAGGACAAGCAGGAATGGCTCCTGCACCGCCAGCAGGAACTCTTGCACCGCCAGCAGGAACTCTTGCACCGCCAGCAGGAACTCTTGCACCGCCAGCAGGAACAATAGCTCCTGTACCGTCTACCGAACCTGATAATACCACGGTCTCTACCAACACCAGTACTACCGCGTCCAGCTTCTCCTGTCGGATGGCGTCTTGCACCGCTGTGTCTGTTGGCATTCTGACCAACCCTACGTGCAAAAGCACAATGCAGACTTGTAACGGCAGCACCACTTGCATCTCCATCGTCCAGTACACTGGTAAGACGATTTGTTCCTGCAGTGCCCCTCTTTTCGAAGAATATGAAGTAAAGGCTGCGCACAACCAAATTCGTAAAAATGATCTAGAACTTTTACTTGTCCATATAAGATTAGTTTCAAGTAGTCCCCATTCCATTGTTACGAAGATTCACTGATCAATGTAACAAGAAAACAGTTCTGAACAAATCCTCTCTTTCCCTTTCGTTGTGTGCCTTGCGATCATCGTACACATACCGGTACATGTACATGTCGACGTAGGAAATGCTTAGAGTACAATTAGTCCTCCTTGTGGCTATATAAAAAAAAACTGTTGTCTCCGAAACTCTTGTTAACTTTAATTAGTTTTTTTATTCCAAGCAATACATGGCTGGGGTAGCCAATAGAGAGGTTAAGTTTCACGTAAAAGTCTTACGTCCGTGAACTTTTACGTCAAAAGTGAAAAAACTCACGTAAAATTTGACGTGTTTTACGTGAGTTGACTGTCCCGCACGTAAGTTCATGACGTGAGTTTTTGGAGGTTTCGCTTGGTTATTCCGACCGAATTTGTGTGAGTTTCCGGAATTTTATCGAGTTTTATCGAGTTTGTTGGAAGATTTGATATATGTGCGAACTAAACCCGAATCCTGCCAGGCAAAATTTCACGTCACGTCCCTCGTGTAACTTAACCTCTAAAAATTACACGTAACGTGAGATTTGCACCGCGTTTTGAAAAAGGGCAAAAAACGTGTAACTTAACCTCTCTAGTGACCACAAACCCGGACTTGAACGACTCCCTGATGTACGACTCAGGCCGT